TTTTTTTTTCATGTGGAATAAATATTAGTTGTATTCAATTTGAACTGTGTTGCGCATGTAATTTTGTATGCATTCAGCGTACAACTACATACTATTCTTATAAATATTCATGTTCAAGGGCCATAATCATGATCTTTCAGTAGATGAAAGTAAACTCTTTTTTTACAAGTTTTATCGAATTGTCAATATACTGGTATAATATAATAGCAATAACCCCTGCCGAAGTTGGGTATACCACTTGATATTGCACAATTCACTCCATATATGCACTCGCCTGCGGCTCGTGCATATATGTCGTGAATTGTGCAATATCTCGTGGTATACCCGCCTTCGGCGGGGGTTATTGCTTAATTAAACCGTAACTTTTGAAAAAAAAAACATAGTTCGGGTTCTAGAGAAAAACGATGTAAAGTTGTTGGTTTATAATAATACTTATAATGTTAACATGATTAACCAATTTTCATTTTTTTTTTCAGAACGACCGAGATTACGAAATTAAACTTTGCGATAATAAGTAAGCAATTAATTTAACAAAGACGATGACGTCATCACCAATCACCACCATCACCGAAAGCAGCGAAGAAGATGATACTATGGACGAAATGACGGAATTAAAAGCCATGACAACCAGGTTGAAATTGCAAACAAGACGACCATCTTATATCGAATGGAGATCAAAGCTCGAGAAGCCATCATTAGCTTATTATAACTCGTCAGACGACGTTATCGGAAAATCACACCAAGAAAGGAAAGCAGAAATAGACAACGCCCTCAGTTGGCTGAGACGTGAATTGGTATTTATTTCCTATTTGTTTGCTTTTGTTGAAAGATGGCGGTGTAGGAAACGCACTAAAGTTAAATCCCACTGGTTTATTTCAAAATAATTTGTTACCAGACATATAATCTGCCGATGATAGCCTAAAACATGTTATAAACTGTACTGTATGATTTACGGAACCCGGCATGTTTGCATATAATAGACGGTAGTTTTCTGAACACATTTGTTTAAATCTGTTCAAGATGTAAATAATGGAGGCAAATATTTTACCCAGCAATAATGTGATTCCCTATAATTATTAATATCATCTCGATCTGCCTTCTTATAAAGGAATACGATCAAACCGATTGCCCATTCATACGTGGAAACACCAGCGATGAGTAATTGAATGAACAATTTCACTAACATTTCACAGAACTCGCGCGGGCTATTACTCAACAACTCCACCAACATATTGTTGCATCCTGGGCCTTTACAATTTTCAAATCAAGTTTTTTAGTTGATCACAATCGTTTTTAGTATCACAGGAATTATAATTATCGACAATTAAATAAAATGTAATTTCTTTTTACAGGTTGACATGAGGACACAAGACCAAAGCCTAGCCCGTCAACTCATGAATATTCATCGTGAAATTCAACGTCTTCGTTTGGAACAGAGCTGCGAAGCACACCGTGATATGCTAGATGAAGTACAGTACACGATAGAAGAGCAGGACGAAATGACTGACGTCTGTGACATGCAGGCTATGGACCCAAATTTACTGAGAATCATGAAATCGCCACTTGGTCACTTTGGAGTAACTCGCATGAATTTAAATGCGCGCCGGTTTTCATTATGTTAAATATGTGAAACTAGGACGTTGTCATGGTAACATGTAGACAGTCCCCCCCCCCCCCATGACGATTATCGAGTCAATGTGATTGTGCCTGATTGGCCAACCAGCCATAACACTTAACTGACAGACGAATCAGAAAGCAGCTTCTTTGTTTGACGTTTAAAATTCTGCCTCGCACATATGCTTCGCGCTTCTTGAGTGACGATTACTTGATCGATCCTCGGACTGATTATCCTTACTTGAAATATGAATATCCTACGCACGTCTTTGGATGACAAAACTTGTACAGTGAAAAGCACAAAACCAGAGCTTTGCTTAAGAACGTTAAATTCAAATATTCAATAGTGATTGGCTCAAGAGCTTAATATTATCAATGTCAATGATGCGCGGGCAAGTCTTCACGCGACATGGCAACTGCGCATGCTCATATATTCAAAATACATAGTAAGGTTCTTGTTGATTGGATAACGTTGAACATTTGTCTAGAACTATTGTTGATGTCACAATACTATTTTAAGATTGGTCAATTTGAATTTAACATTTATTTTGAATGAATACTTTTATAACGCGTATAACGTTTGATACGCAATGTAGTGTTTTATTTCATTCGGTCCACATTGACCTGATAACTTCGTGAATACATTTTGTTTAAAAACATGTATCGATGGACGCCTTTTCATTTTTGCTAACACTCTTCCAGTGTGAGAAATGAATAGGATTATCTTATATAATCTAATCTGTTTTTATACTATATTCTGCATTCCAATGATCATTTGTTTAGCATGCCATGACTATAGCCACGTTTGCAAACATGGGGAATATTGTCGCTATTTCCAAAGAAAAAGCTTAATATCCGACATTATGTAATTGGATTTTGTAGTGGGTAGTTTTCGCGGGGAGTAGGGCTTTGTCACAGTAATTGGTCCTTTTATCGTTGTTGAGAATTAAAGTGTTATGTGTCTTTAACAACTGGTTTTATTTGGGAATACCATCCTTTGGAGATTTATCCTCATTATTCCATCAGTGACACTTCTCGATGGCGTTTTCGCGGTCATTGTTATTTACGAAAATATTTATTCACAATTGTATAAACTGGCTTGGCAATTCCCACCACCAATTAGATATAATGTGGACATATTTTAATACATGCAAGTATACTCACAACAATAGCCATGGAAATTTAGAGAATTTATTATATAACCTAGACAAAACAAATCAATATTTTCTTTGCTATAATGATACACTTTTCCCTATCTGTGTAACTTCATGCGGAAACCATATAAATGAGATTTAAAGTTCACAACTATCGATTTAGCAATATTAGGGATTCTCAACTTGTCCATGTTGGCTGCAGGATTTTGTAAAAAAATATTGTATTCACTGACATTTATTTTGTAGTTACATTTTTATGTCTACCATTGGGTCCATAGTATCTTTTCTTACTAATTTGACTACATTGTGTACTTGACGTTGTCCAGTACTGTATTCTCCAGCATAAATATCGGATTATTTGTGAGCATATGATTGTAATGTGAATAACGTGCTATATAATGACGCTATTTTCAGGACCTACCAGTGATTCAGAGTACCATTATGACTATATCCAGGACCGTTTATAACACTTAATTACTTGTCAGTGTCCGACTAATATATACAAAATGCGGTCAAGAAAACGTCAGAATAGTTAAACAGCTAAAAGTCAGTTGCCCGTGCCGGGAGAGCCGCAGAACCAGAACAATCTTTCAGCCGTCGCCGTCCACAGCATCGATGTGATTTTACATTGCATAGCAATGGACATTAAATACATCTATCCCGGTAAGCAATCGAATCATCAATCGTCATGAGTGATGTAACTGGTATTTCCATCTATTTGCTTAGTTGTCTGAAAGTGAATGTTGTCAAGTTCGAGAGTGTGTTTTACGTACAGTTATTTGCTACAATCAAAGATGATTTGAACGGGAAGTTAATTTTCGGCTGGTGGTATTGCCAAATTTTGGAGACGTTCCAGTAAGAAATTGTTATACATATCGAAAAACTTGATTGGAACATATATATTCAGCAAAAA